TTAAACCTCCAAACTCTAAAACATTGTATAACCTACTGTTATCTGCAAAACTTAGTTGAGTACATAATAAATCATTCATACAACTTGTCAGCTCTTCCTATTGAGAGGTCACACTTTACTTCAACTAATTCACAGACCTTAGAAAATATGTAAAAAAATATATGGTAGTGTTTCAGTCCAGTTGAGAAGAATTTCTGACGAATGATCTCAGGATATTTAAGCAACGGGATCAGCAATGTGAACAAAAAGTCAAACATTAAAAGGAATGCCCCTCTCAGTGGAGAGGCTCTACATGTTTGGTGATTCTCTTTTTACTAAGTTGGTTGAGGATTGTCATAATTGTAAGCCATTGTACCCTTTTAAAAATAATGAAGGGTTAATTTATTTGTAAGTCAACTGCGATGGAGTTCTGAAAGAAATATGAAGCATGTCTTAAAATGAGGAAACATTCCAGGGTATGAGGGGACATTCAAGATGTGATTTGCATGAGCACAGTGCACTATAAATAAATTAAATTGCAATAATTTTTAAAATCAAAGATTCGATTTCATGATTAGTAAAATCAGAGAGAGATATAGAGAAATTAAAGAAAAAGAGTGTTAGTTTTCTGATAGAATTCACAATGACATAAGCTGCTTTGTTATGCCATTTTTGACACAATACCTCTTTAGACTTATTTTGAAGTTCTTCAGCGTCCTTTTTCAGTCTAGACTTCTCCTTCTCTAGGTCTGCGATTGCTTTTCGTAAATCGTCAGCTTCTTTACTGGTATTAAGTCTGTCGACCGTCATTTTTTCCACAACTGTCATTTTTTCTTTGGTGGCTATTTCAGTCTCATGAAGACGAGCAGCAATTGTGTCAGCTTGTTTCCTGAATTTTTTTGCCTCCTCTTCAGCCTTGGCCTGGGCTTCACTGAGCTGAGAAACTTGAAGCTTGAGTTTTTCAGCTTCAGCTATGATCTCCAATTGCCTTTTCCTTTCTGCTTCAAGTGATTTCTGGTACTCCTCTGTTTCCTCCTCCAGACGCTGCTGCATTAGTTGTTTATCCTCCAGCAACTTTTGTGCCTGCTCCTGAGCCAAGTCCTTCTGCCTTTGGAGCATCTCTGCCTCAGCTTTAAGTTTAGATGCCTCTTGTATGGCCTGCATCTTCTCTTTGAGCATTTTCTCTGCAAGAGCTCTTTGCTGATTAAGATCATCTTCTGCAATCTGTCTTAAGCGTGCAGCCTCTTGGGCTTCTACACTAAGCCTAGCAGCATCCTCTGCAAGCTTTTTCATGTTTTTAGCCTCTTCTTCAAGGAAATTCTGTGTGTTATCTTTGTCTTTCTTGATGAGGCGCTGATTTTCCTCCTCAATTCTGATTTTAAGTTTGAGAAGTTCCTCCATCTGAACCTTGACTTTGAACAACTCCTCCTCCACCTGGCCCCTTTGTTTGACGGCATCATCAACCTCATCCTTCAAGCGCTGCAGTTCTTCATCCAGGACAGATTTCTGATTATCTGTTTCATCAAGCTGAAGTTTAACCTTTGTTAGCTCTTGCTCCACTTGGAACTTCTGTTTTAATGTTTGCTCTGCCAATTTTTTGTGCTTAGCCATTTCAGTGTCAGCTTGTTGCTTCTGCTTGTGTGCTGCTGCTTCTGCTTGTGCTCGTTTGGCAGCTTCAAATTCAGCCTCCTTCCTCATCCTCTCAGCATCCTCTTGAGCTTTGGCTTGGTTTGCAGCTTCTTGCTCAGCAGCCACTTTTTGCCGTTCTGCTTCTTCTGCTTGCTGACGAAAGAGAGCTGCCTCTCTTTCTGCCCTCTCCTTAGCAGCCTCTGCCTCCTTGGCAAGCTTCTTGGCTTTCTCATACTCTTCCTTAAGCTTCTTTTGCATGATGCTGTCTTCCTTCTGTTGAGCAAGGACACTTTGAACTTGCTGCTCAGCTGCACTGCATTTCAGGGATGCTTGTTGGGCTGCGACAATCTGTTTTTCAGCTTCTTCGTCAGCTTCATCTTTCTGCTTTTTGGCTTCTTCTGCTTTCTTTTTCAAACGATCAAGCTCATCTTGGGCTGCCTTGCGTTGTCTGGCTGCCTCTTCTTCTGCAGCTGTAATTATCTTAACTTTCTCCTCTGCTTCCCTCCTCCTCTTCTCCTCCTCAAGGGCAAGCTGTCTTAGTTTCTCTGCCTCCTCCTCTGCTCTGAGCTTGCTTTGTTGAGTTTCTTCTGCAATGTTTTTCAGTTTGTTTAGCTCTAGCTCCAGGTCAAGTTTTCCTGATGAAGCCTTCTCAAAGTTGAGCTTAAGAATTCTGATCTCTTCCTCTACAACCCGCCTCTGTTTGAGCGTGTCATCCACTATTGCCTTTTGTCTTTCCATTTCAGCCTCAGATGATTTCTTGAGTTGAACGATCTTTTCCTCAATCTCATGCTTGTGCTGGTTGGCCTGGTCTTCCAGAGCTTTCCTCTGGTAAGCCTCATCCTCTGCATGTCGCCGGAGTCTCTCGTTTTCTGCCTCCTTCTCTTTTAGGGCAATTTCAGCTTCTGTTTTTAAACGGGTAGCCTCACTGATTGCAGCCAGCTTCTCTTTGAGAATCCTCTCAGCCTCGGCTCTCTGACGAGCTGCCTCTTCCTCAGCAACTTGTCTCTGGTGCTTGGCTTCCTCTGAAATGGCTCTAAGCTTGCTTGCCTCGTCAGCCAGGTCCTTCATCTTGGCGGCTTCAGCCTCAAGAAGTTGTTTACTCCTCTCTGTGTTGGACATGGTCTCCTTTTCTGCCTTGGATTTGAGCTGAATGAGTATATCCATTTCACTCCTCACTTTGGCCAGTTCATCCTCCAGCAGTTTTCTCTGTTGTTGAGCAGCAGCAACTTCATTCTTGAGGCGGTATAGTTCATCTTCAAGGAGGGATCTCTGCTGTTCTGCATTGTCAAAGTCTGCCCTAAGTCGAATCAGTTCTTGTTCTGCAGTGAGTTTCTGCTGAGCTGTGCTCTCAGCAATCTTTCTCTGCCTCTCGAGTTCTTTCTCGGCCATATCTTTCTGCTTCAGGGCTGAATCTTCAGCTTTGGCTCTCTTCTTAGCCTCACGCTCAGCCTCGTCTTTCTGTTTTTCAGCATCCTCTTGAGCAAGGCTCTTTTTGTGAGCTTCTTCTTCAGCCTGGAGTCTCAGACGGAGGGCCTCATTTGCTTTCTGCCTCCATTTTTCAAGCTCTTTTTCGGCCTCTTCCCTGGCAACTTCTGCATCTTCCTGTTGTCTCTTAAGATGCGCTGCTTGTTGTTGCAGCTGAAGGACAGCACCATGCTCCTGTTTGAGTGATTCCTCTAACTTTGAGGTTTTTTCCTCAAAGGAGTGGTGTTTGCTCTGGAGCTCTGTGGCAGCACTCTTCTGGGCTACCTCCTGAGCAACCTTGATTTGTCTTTCCTTTTCTATTTCCGCTTGCTTCACTTGTCTTTCAGCCTCCTCGGCCTGCCTCCTTAGATTTTCAAGGTCTTCCAGGGCTTTTTGCTTTTGCCTAGAAGCTTCCTTCTCTGCTTCAGATTTCAGTTTGAGTTCCTCCTCTGCCATGAACTTTTTCTGGGTTTCTTCCATGACTTGTTTGCGGAGCTTCTCAGCTTCCTCTTGAGCAGCCTTCCTGAGTTTCTCAGCCTCAGATGCTCTATCGCGAAGTTGCTTGAGCTCAGATTCTGCAGTCGATTTTTGCTTTACTGTTGTCTCCAGCTGAATCCTAATAAGGCGGATTTCCTCTTCAATCTTCACCCTGCTTTGGAGAGCGTCATCCACTTGTTGACTTTTGTCCTTGATCTGCTGCTCTGACATGTTTTTGAGCTCATGCAGTTCCAGCTGGATGTTGTATTTTTGTTTTTCTGCATCTACAGCAGCAACTTCTCTCCTGCTTACTTCCTGCTGCATTTTGAGCTTCAGCTCTTGAGCCTCTTTCTCAGCTTTGGCAATAGCCTTTGCGTGAGCTGCGGCTAACTGCTTCTGTTTGTCTAACTCGGCCTGCATCTCGGCCATTTTTTTCTGCTCTTCCGCTTTGAGTTTCTCTGCAGCTTTCTGCATTAGTGGAAGCAAATGGTAAAGAAAGGATTATAATCAAGCATGACAGGTTAAAGGTAACACTTCACATTAACCAGCTCTAAACAGTGTGGCTTTAAGTTGTAATTACTATAGTAATCACAGCCTAATCACGCTGGAGCAATTTAATGTACTGTATTACCCAGGCAATGTTAATGTTAAAAATTAGCTCAAAGATCAATCACTAGATGCAAATTAGATGCACAATCATCACAGTTATGTTAATTCATGATGCAATTGAAATAATTCAAGACATTCAGGGAAAAATGGATGATGGAGATGTATCAATTAATGTATGGAAACAAAATATCACTTCACAACACACAGCAAGAAAATCATATGGCATGCAGCTGTAGCACTAAGTTC